GTGTGTGTGTGTGTGTGTGTGTGTGTGTGTGTGTGTGTGTGTGTGTCGGGTCTGAGGTCTTGTCTTACTCTTGTCCCTTCTCGTGTGTTTGTTTTCCACACCAGAACCAGCCTTCGGCGAGGTGAACCAGCTCGGAGGTGTTTTCGTGAACGGCCGGCCCCTCCCCAACGCCATCCGYCTCAGGATCGTGGAGCTGGCCCAGCTCGGGATTCGACCCTGCGACATCAGCCGCCAGCTGCGCGTCTCCCACGGCTGCGTGAGCAAGATTCTGGCCCGCTACAACGAGACCGGCTCCATCCTCCCGGGCGCCATCGGAGGCAGCAAGCCGCGCGTCACCACCCCCACCGTGGTCAAGCACATACGGACATACAAGCAGAGGGACCCGGGCATTTTCGCCTGGGAGATCCGGGACAGGCTGCTGGCGGACGGGGTGTGCGACAAGTTCAACCTGCCCTCGGTCAGCTCCATCAGCCGGATCCTCCGGAACAAGATCGGGAACCTGTCCCAGCAGAGCCAGTACGAGTCGGGCAAGCAGGCGCCCCACCCCCKGCCGCAGCCAACGTTACCCTACAACCACTTGTACTCATACCCGGCGTCCAAAGTGCCCACCCCCCCGGGCATGCCCACCCTTCCTGGACACATGATGCACAGGATATGGCCCTCGTCGCACTCCGTCACAGATATTCTGGGGATTCGGTCCATAACAGAGCAACAAAGTAAGCACGAAACGGTTCTTCACTGCACCACATTCACACAGCTTTAGSTCGGACACTGCGGCTGTGAGGTGAAACACAAAGTTAGATAAAAGAAAAAAAGGGGTTAAAAACCTTCCATGCAGGCCTGTGAGGACTGGCTGCTGAGCTTCATTTCAAATCAACAGAATATTTCTGATGATTAAACTTGGGAGATTCCAGCCCTGTTTTTGTGTGTTTGCAGTGTCGACCTGCAGGCCCACATCACGTCTAGCTTTGTGCGCAACACGACRGCTGCTGTTTTGGAAACAGTGAAACAGGATCCGGCATAAATCAGTGTTAATGGTCGGCTCAGTGGTGTGAGAGGGGCTTTTCTGAGAGCTTGTTTACCAGAAGCAGGAGGAGGGGAGGCGCTGTCAGTCCGGCGCGTGAAGCCCGCTGCTGTCCGGACTCCTCTCCACTCCCACAGCCCTGCTCACAACATACGGGCTGTGTTTCTAAAACATCTTTCTKAATTATTAGCAGATGTGTATAAATGTTTGCTGCCATGCTTTGCCCCGATTTCACCAATCAGATGATTTTGTTTTTAAAGTTAACAGATTTTATGAAAAGTGGCAGGAGGTTAAACTAAGACGCGCATGAGGTGATTTTGTTGTTTTTAAAGCGATCAGTCTAAACCTGAACGCACCAGCAACACATGCTAAACAAATCTGACTCTAAAATAATTTAACATATATTTATAAAACACAGACATGGTTTAGAAAAATCAATATATATTTTTTTCTGTAACGGCTGCGCACGAAAAATGAGGAAGTTCATCTATTTTTGCCACCATGTTTGGAGAAACTGCAGCGGCGCAAACTCATCAGATCCTACAATTTATACCTGGTTTTCACTCTTATTTTTTTAGTCTAAACGTTTATAAAAAGACAAACCTTTTTTATTTTTGTTATTCTATGTTCTTTTACAAGATAAAAATAAAAAGTTAATGGTTATTAAAAACACGCACGCTCAGAGAAAAATGATTTTTAATGACATTTGTGCCTCATAATATCAGAATAATAAATTGTAATTTTTTCAGGATATTTTTATTGATATTTTTTATTTAAGTGATATGAAATAGAGACAATACCCAAAAGCTTTCACACACCTGAGTGCACTTAAGATGACAAATGGGCACGCGGGTTTATTGTGCAACCTGCGGCTGATGGATGGATGGATGTATGGATGGATGGATGCGCACCAGCGGCCTGAGCTGCGCTTTTTTCATCTCTAATTCTTAAAAACCTTCTTCCTGATTTTCCTGTTCTTGTCTCTGTCTGTCTCACCCCTCAGTTAGTGACAGTCCGCCCTTTTGCAGCGCCAAACTAGAAGAATGGAGCGCTCTAAACAGGACTAGTTTCCCCGCAGCGAGCTCTCCACTAGTCAGCATGGATAAGGCGCATTTAGAACCTGACGCAAAATACACACAGGTAAACAAAAAAAAAGTAAATACAGATTCTCCTTTTCTTTTCTTTTTTAACCTCAACCCATCAGCCTATTTTACTCTCATTTTTTATGACAATGTGGACTGGAAATGTTCCCTTAACACACCTAAATAAAAAGCTTTAGCTTTAACAGAGGCACTTCCTGTAGGTCTTGCTGCTCGGTCAGTGCTTGTTTCACTGCACTAAATGTTTAATAACACGTCCAAACTTTTTGAGCAGCCACGGTGTTAGTTTTTTTTTTAATTCGCGTAAACGTTCAAATTATTTTCAGACACAATCTGGACTCATAAAAACGAGCTGGTCTCAGTTTGTTGTTTAATTCTTGCAGCACACATGGATTTTAATGGCTTTAGTGCAGCAGTGACTGTTTGAACCACTAAAACTGCAGGAAATGTGTGAAAAACGAGCCTGAAGCTGAAAGGCGGAAGGACGTGGAGAACCTTAGAGATAGCTTACGAATTTATTTACCTCAAGTTAAAAGAAATATATTAAATAAATAATAACACACTTTAGAACAGACATGCGTAAAACCTTTTCAGCTGTCTTCGTTAGAAATATTTTTATTTTTATTTCCCCAGTTATTGAAAAAAAAGCCTAATTTTTATCTGTCGGCTCTGGTCTGTTTGCAAAATATTCCAACTCATCCTGCACATGTATTTATATTTTTACATCAGACAATAAACTCGGAGATGTGACCATAAGGGCCGCGCATGCGTGTTGCTTTTCTCTCTCGCTGACAGGACGCGCATCAGGTGAAATTTAAAAGTTTGACTTATCTATAAGTTTGTCTGCTCTCAAACACACAAACAAAACATAAAGGGAGAGAGAAAAGAAAAAAAAACAGCTGTTTTAGGCGCGTTCACACATTAAGTTTACTTTGATTGTGCGTAAAAATAAAAATGCAACAAAAATTATATATGTAAACAAATAAATAAATAAATTAAAAAATGAATAAAGCATAAAATAAGAATATATGACAGAATTTATCCAGAAAAGTAAGACTGCAGAAGGACTGAGATGTAAACAGCAGCTGCTTTTAGATGTTTATGGGAGACAGAGGTGTCCTCAAAAAGTCCTGATCAAAATGTGGAGTTTCTTTTAAATTTTAGAAAAAAAAAGACAGAAAAATTAAAGTGTTTTTTCCCCACATATACACTAAAATTTCAATTTTTTTAAGAGTGCGTATCAGCTGGCCTAAATCAGATAAATCTCACATGCTTTACTTGTTTGTGTGTTTATGTGTGTGTGTGTGTGTGT